AGGCTGCTTGTCCAAAGTGCCCTGGAAGACAACCTGGTGGGGTCTTTCTTGCTGCTCTTTGATACATCTGTACCTCTGTACTGAGGACGCACACATCATGATTACTTCCAGTCTGAAAAGCGAGGTGTTTCTGCCAAGAAAGATAGGTTGTCAGGTGTGGTTTGGGGTTGAGAGTTGTAAGGCAACATTGGGGGGGGGTCAGGTGGTGCTGACCTCAGCGCTCCCCTCCTAGGCTGCTGCTGGTGGTTCGCGCAGTATTTGTAGAAGCCTGTAGAATGCAGGGCACAGGTAGCTTTTAGGGTTCTTACTTGGTTTGCGATTATCTAGGGGGTGATTGTGTCCCCCAAAGGAACACTTGACATTGGCTAGACATATTTTTGGTTTTTATATCTAGCTGGGGGGATGTTATAGGCATCTGATGGGTAGAGTCCACAGCACTGTGTCAGTAGGGCCACGGTGGCTGCACCCTGCTCTCTCACTCGGTGTGACGTAGTTTTGGCCTATCTGCTCTGTTGCAACCCAAGAGCGGCTGTGTGTGGTGTGTTTTTATTTACTTTCGTGGTTTTAGTACTTTTTGTCAGGCCCTCTGCTGTTTCTTTCCATCAGGAAAATGCTTGTTCTGCCCCTCAGCCCCAACAACTTTTATTCAGGACCCGTGATGAAGCGACTTTACTTTTTATTCATCCATCAAGTCCCTCTAGCTGTGAGCCTACTCTTGTGCTGGGTCCTGGGAAACAGGCACCTGGTCGGGGAGGCAGGTGACCAAACAGGCAGATGCTGTCACAGAACCCTCAGATGCTGTCACAAGGTGACCACGGAAGCTGTGGAAGTGTGGAACAGGCCCCCCTACGCAGTCAGGGGAGGCTTCTTGGAGGAAGTGGTGTCTGTGCTGAAGCCTGAAGGACCCAGGAGGAGCTAGCGAGGTTTGGAGAGGAAGGCAGAGGGAGCAGCTGAGCAGGGCAGAGGCCAGGGCGCAGAGGAGCAGTCAGGTGTGGCAGGAGTGTTGAACGCCATGTGGGTGGCAGGCAGAGATGAGGTGAGAGAGGCCTAGAAGTGTTTGTGACAGTGAGAAGCCTTCCTGGTGGCCATGGGCTCCCCTGGGCGCCTCTGCTCCTCAGTGGGCAGGGTCAGCGCTGGGGGTGGGGACACGCCATCCTTTCAGGGCCCAGCCAGGGGTTTCACGATCTTCCCCTGGGAAGTGTGGTCAACTGCGAGCTGTCTCAGGTGAGGAGCCGAGGCTCTGTGGGGTTAGGTCCCCGTCTGAGGCCACTGGGGTTTCAGTTTGGACAGGCAGGACTGGAACCCAGGCCTTTCTGATGGATCACTCACTCTGCCCCTCTCTTTTCCCAGGTCCACTGCAAAATCTGTATGTTGTGCTTTTTCTTTTTTCCTTTGAACCCACAACCCATCCCAGACACTGTACTGAATGAGAGCCTTTGGGCCTCTCCTCAGTGCTTGGCCTGGTGTCCCAGCCCCTTCTGTTTCCTAATTACTCCATCCTCTGGGGTTGGCCCAGCACAGCCACCTCCCTTAGGAGAGTCTGCTTGGGGGTCAGAGGGCAAGGCACCTAACTGGGGACCCCCCAGGCTTTCCCAAGCCACAGTGAGGTCCCAGGCTATCCTCCCATGTGGCCTTAGCCAGGTTCTTCTGTGGCCTCCTCTCCCACGTAGGTGTCCTGCCGCCTGCCTTGCTGGGTCTGGCTTGGGTTGTATGGCAGCACACACACGAGATTCTGCTAACATTTTCCTGTCCTTGGAATCAGAAGTTCCCCATCCCCTTTCCAGATTTGGCTGAGAGGTGACAGTGGGTTGGGAGAAGTTAGAGGAAGGTGGTCTTGCTGCCCTCTGACCTGCCAGACCCTGCAGGGGGCTGGAGACTGGCTGCCCAGGAATGGATTCTCCCCTCTGGGCTCGCCTGGCCTGTCTCATGAGAGCAGCTGGTGGCCTGTGAGTAGAGATGGCTGAGGGTGGTAGCAGTCAGCAGGTCCCAGATAGCCTCTCCCAACACTGGAGCGTCTGCTGAGCCTCTAGGCAGCTCAAGTGGCCACCCCGGAGGCCCTCCCAGAGGTCTCTGCGCCCTTGACCTCCACTTCCGGGTGCTTCAGGGCCAGGGCAGGTGAGGAGGGGGTGTCAGATAAAGGATCTGCCCACGGTTCCCGGCAGACAGAGCTGTGTGGACTCTGGTGGCAGCTCAGTGACGGTGAGGATGGCTCTCTGGCAGCTGCAGGAGGGCCCTGTCTGAGGGACAGGAGCCCAAGAGCCACACAGCCACGCGAGACCCGAGGCAATGGTGCAGAGTGGCAGAGGAAGAGGTGCTCTTGTGTCTAATGGCTTCCTTTCTCGTTTACAGTTTCCCCTTCTTCCGTTGGCAGTCAGTCTTGGTTTTCAAACGGTCGCTAAAAACCAGTGGTAGTCACTTCCGTTTTCTTGAAATTTGCTACAAGTTGAAAAGGGTGGGGGCGGCAAGGAGTGTGGCGACCGACTGAGTATTTGAATGACTTGAGTCACTCAGGCAAACGGGGCGCTGTCTTTCTCCAGGCCTGCTCTTTTGTTTTTAGCACTATCACCCAGGGGTATGGTGGTCTCCTTCCCTCCTACTACAAGTGTCCGGGCCTCAGCATGGCCTCAGGGACAGGCAGGAAGGGGCCGGCACCTGCCAGGCTCTTGCCTATCACCTGCCTGACCCAGCTGTCCTCACAGCGTGGCCCTTCCTGGCCTGCAGTGCCTCGTTTCGCAGACAGGAAGCGAGGCTCCTGGATGCCAGGACCCTGGCCCAGGCTCACCCACTAGAGGGTGAGAAGGAGAACCACCTCTCCTGTCGGCTCCCAGGGCTGCCAGCAAGTTCCATTAAGCAAGAAGGTGGGGCTGAACCAATAGGACCTGGGGCTGGAGTGAATTGAGAGTTTGTGGCAGGGAAGTTTTCTCCCTTCTCTTTTTTGTGTGTTCTCTTTTCCTGTTCTATATCTGCACTCTCGTTCTGTGTAGAGTTGAGAAGTGATGTGTGTAGGGTACCATCTACCACTTGGTCCTTGCAGCCTCCTGATTTTCAGAGGGGCGACCTGAGGTCCTGAGAGTTTAAGGAGCCACCTGGGTGGTGAGGCCCCTGGATCCACAGTGTGTGCCACCCAGCCCACCCCCAGTCTTGTTGCAGCAGCACCTCCCCTCACTGTAAATCTCTGGAAAGCCAGCTTTGGGAGGGAAGTCCATCTGCTGTCCAAAGCAGGTGGGGACTTGGGGGGATAGCCTGCACCTTCTAACCATTTGCTTTGGAAGTGGGTGGGCCTCTAGTCAGGACAGCGGGGCATGCAGCTGGGATCTGGGATCTGCCTCTTTGCAGCTGGGGCTCCCCCTGTGGGTCCATGTCCCTGCATCCATCAAGTGGGTATAAAAACAGTGCTCCACCTCATCATCTCAGTGACATGGTACAAAGTGTGCCACGCTGATACACAGATTCTCTGCAGGGTTGGCTGGGCTCTGCCCTGCCCCCCACCTGGGGGGGCTACCTAGCTTCGGGGGACCGTGATGTGAGGGAAGGAGGAACCTGGGTGGGCTCCACCTTCCTGTGCTTCAGTTCTGTGGGCAGCTGGCGCCCAGTCAGCAACGGATGGCAGGCCATGGAGTGAGGCCTGGCCCCGCAGGGTGCTCAGAGGTCTGGTCTGTTTGTTTTGGTGACGGTTTTTGTTGAGATGTAATTCATACACCGTATGATTCACCCATTTATAGTGTGCCGTTCAGTGGCTTCTGGTCAGCCGCAGAGTTGTGCAGCATCACCACTATGGGTGTTTTAGTGGAGGTGTAACTGACAAGGAAAATGGTATGTAATTGGTTTTAGAACTTTTGGGGGACTTTTTTTGAACAGCCTTTTCCCAAAAGGAAACCCTGTACCTATCAGCAGTCATCTCCCTCAGCTCTTGAGAACCACTATCTTTCTCTGGATGGAGTCATGCCGTATGTGGTCCCTGGTGACCCCTTCGCTTGCTCTGCTTGGCGGCCTTTTGGGCTCTCTGGTCCCCTTATTGCCACTTTGAAGTCTCCGATGTAGAAACAGATGTTGTTCTTACAATTTCGAGGTTCTTGTAGCTCCAGGTGGTGGTCCCAGCTAAGGTTCTGTGCTAGGTGCTGTCCCCAGGCACTGACGGCGGCCTAGTGAAGAGGGTTCTGTGCGGTTCCATCTGCATCCAGCCCAGGCATGTGTAGTGCACAGGATCATTCCTGTGGTAGTGGATGTGCTGGGCAGGTTGGGACACACTCCCGGAGGTGGTGGACGGAGGTGGGCAGGGGCCCTAGTGCTTTGAATGTGGAGACTGGAGAGCCCATCATGGGGCTTCAGGCCGGGAACCAACTTGAGACACTCAAATTTGTGGCTCAGAAAAGTGGCCTGAATGGGGGTGGGGTGAAGGACTGGGACAAGTTCCTATGTGCAGTAGGATAGGACCCCGTGAGGTGCTGTGCCCTCCTGCCTGTACCTGCTCACGGGCTGTCCTCCACTGTCCAGGTGTGGGCAGCCAAAGCTTAGGAACAGACATGAGTCCCTCGGGATTGTTGCGGATTTAGAACCACTTGTTCCTGGTCACAGCCAGTAGTCAGCTGGTCGGCTGGGGTGACTGAGGTGCCTGTGGAGGCTGGAAAGGACAGCTGGGGGCAGCGGTGTCTTGAATGCACTGGGGCTTAGAAGGCTGGTCACCTGTGCCCACTGGCTCCACCCAGCTGCTTCCCGAATCAGTGTCTTTCTCCTCAGGCTGTTGCTTTGTCAGTGGCTGGAGCACTGTCCATGGCCAGGGTAGCGTGGGGCAGAGAAGACTCGGAGGGCATCGTAGGAGAGGGACTGGCGTCTGCGGGCCTGGAGGTGCCCAGGAGGGGCGTATCGGCCTCTTGATCTTTCCGCAGTGGCCTCTACCTTAGGTGGTCTTCGTGAGGCAGGTGACAAGTGAGCTTCAGTCAGCGCCTGTGCTGGGGTGACGGCAGCCCCTCAGTCATGGCCATGGGTACAGCACTCAGTGCATGGTGGACTTGTGGAGCAGCTGGTGGTCTGGACTGAGGGGCCTATAGGTGGCGCTGACTTCATGTTCGTCAGGGGCTTTGGCCTGCCTGGCACCTAGGGAGCACTCGACAGGAGATGCTCCTAATGCCAGTCAGCTACCTGTGCCAGGTGGGCTGGGCCACTGCCAGGCATGCAGGGTAAGAGCCAGGGCACCATCCTTCAGGTGGTGGGAGCTGGCTTGCCCTCCCTGCTGAGCCGGTTACTCCATCTGTCTTACATCTTTTGGGCCCATCAGTGGCTGTTCTAGGAGGACTCCCTCCCATTTCCCTCTTCCCTGTCCTGGGCTGTGGGTGGGTAGGGGTTTGGGTGTGTTTGTGTGTGTGGCATCCAGGCAACAGCACAGACTTCCCTCTGCCTGCCACTGCCCCACACCCTGCACCACGTGGCAATTTGTTGGGCTAGATGATAGCTGCACGCTGGCTGTCATGGGGCACGAATTTGTCCAGCAAACAGATTGAAGCGAGTGTGATGGCAGGGGTTCCAGGATGAGCACAGCTCTGGCTCCGCCCCTGGGGCCCCTGTCCAGATGTGGGGACAGTGAACACAGGCGGGACCATGGTTGCTCCAAGCACGACATCAGGACTCTCCCTCACAGGCCCTGTGCACGGTCCACGCCAAAGGGCTTTCTCTGGGCCTGGGGGCCGACAGTTGGGCAGGACAGTTCACCTCAGGTGTGAAGGCACCCCTGGACCTTGGGTCTGGACCAGAAGCACCTGGAAGCGTCATCAGGTCTGGTGCTTGCTGGGCTGGGTGGCGGGCTCAGTAGTGAAAGCCCCTACCCACAGGGCGCCATGTTTTGGAAGTTTGACCTGCACACGAGCTCGCACCTGGACACGCTGCTGGAGCGGGAGGACCTGAGCCTGCCCGAGCTGCTGGACGAAGAGGACGTCCTGCAGGAGTGCAAGGTCGTTAACCGCAAGCTGCTGGACTTCCTGCTGCAGCCGCCACACCTGCAGGCCATGGTGGCGTGGGTCACCCAGGAGCCTCCAGCCAGTGTTGATGAGCGTCTGCGCTACAAGTGAGCCACCTGTTCTGTGCCAGGGCCCCTGGTGGGGACAAGGAAACCAAGGCAGAGGAGGCTGGGCCCCTGGGTGCAGACCCGCAGCCTGTGCCCCAAAGCACTCGTGGTAAAACTGTTTAGGAGCGTCTTTATTACAGGTTTTGCAGACAGTCTCCAGTGGGGGCTGAGTAGGGCCCTCGGGGGCAGCATCTAGCTGGTCTTGTTCCAATGTACCCCACCCCAACCGCAACCCCAGATTCTTTTTCCTGGTGGTCTTTTCAATTGGATTTTTGTTGAGATGAGTGGAGAATCACAGCAGTTGTGAGAGAGAATGCAGAGCTCCCTGTTCACTGCCTGCTTTCCCCCTGGCAGCATTGTGCAGAGTACAGCAGTCACAGCCTGGGTGGTGGCATGGGACGGCCACAGGCCCTGGTGTGGTTTACAGCAAGTTCTCTTAACTCCAGATGACATCTTTTTACCTGTAACTCTCTTGTAAATTTCCCCTTTTTGGAGCATGAATGGGTGAGGTCTCCCCATGCCCGGCCTGGTGCCAGGCTGTGAGCAGAGTTGGCACGGGCCCTAGGTGGGCACCGTCCCCTCCTGCACCACTCCTCAGCCCATCTCTCCCCGCTGCCCCAAGTCACTCTGTGGGTCCTTAGGGCCCTGGGGTGTGCTGGGGGCCGGGCTGTCAGTGGCCTGTTGGGGGTGTGATTGGCATGGTCTCCATAACAGGACTTCTGTTTTCCCTGGTCTCCGCCGCCCTTCTCGGGCCCGCATAGTCCATCCCAGACATGGGCTCCCTTCTGGCTCACCTCCTCATTCCCTGGTGCCACCCCCTGCCCAGCCCCCCTGCTCTGCAGAGGGGCATGTGGTCCTCATCCTGCTCTGCATCTTCTGTGCCTGGAGGCCTGAGCCAGGTGGTACAGGGTGTGGGCTGCCCCTCGGTGTGCCCTTTGTGAAGTGGGAGGTCAGTGAGGGTGCAGGGACTTCTGGCAGGGTCAGCAGAGTCCTCCGTGCCTCCTGATGTCCATCTGTCTCATATACCTGCTCCCACGTGCGTCTTTTCCCTGCTTTGTTCTGACCTCTGTTCATCTTTCCCCTCCCAGCATCCCCCCTCCCTTGAGTGTGTCCTGTGGCCCCAAAGACTGGGCTCTGGCTCACAAAAGCAGGGAGACACAGAGGGAGCCCCCATTTTTACCTCTATGCCCTCCAGGCCCCTGGGTCCCTGCCCTGCTCCAAGGGACCCAGGGGAGGAGGCACACAAGACCCCTACAGTTCACAGGGTACCTCTAGCAGGTGTGGTCACCTGGGGCCTTGGTCACTGCTGAACAGGGCGGCCCTGGAGCCAGTGTACAGAGAAGGGGTGAGGGGCGAGGTTGGGTTTTAGAGAGATCACCTGGATAGACTGAAGGGGAAGCTCTGACAGTGACCTGCTGGGGCAGGGCCATGGGGACCGGCAGGCAGGTGTCCAGGAGGTGACAGGCTTGCCTGGTAGAGGTCAGGAGGGTGGACACAGGGAGGGGAGGATGGCCCCACCGGCCCTCCCCCTTATCTGCTGCCCTCTCTGGATGTGACAGCCCCCCCGCCCCTCCCCAGGTACCCCAGTGTGGCCTGTGAGATCCTAACCTCAGACGTGCCCCAAATCAATGACGCGCTGGGCGCGGACGAGTCCCTGCTGAACCGGCTCTACGGCTTCCTGCAGAGCAGCGGCTGCCTCAACCCGCTGCTGGCCAGCTTCTTCAGCAAGGTCATGGGCATCCTCATCAACCGCAAGACCGACCAGGTGCGCC